CCCCCCCCCCTCCCCCCCTCCTCTCTCTCTCTCCCCCTGTCCTCTCGTCATCTAAACCAAGAACCCGCCCACGACCCCCGCGACGACAACCCCCATCCCGACGCCACCGCCCAGCATCTCCGTCCTCCCCGCCGCGCCGATCGTGACGAGCGGGACCGTCGCCGGGCGCGTGCTCGTCGCGTTTCCGAAGCCGCCGCTGGGCGTGGGGACAGTCGGCATGGGCATGGAGGTGGGAGGGAGGGAGGGGGTGGGAGGGAGGGTGGGAGAGGGGAGGGTGACGATGGTGTCGGTTTGGATGGTGAGGACGTTGGAGGCGGAGGGAGAGGGGGCCGTGGGGGTGTAGATGGGTGTCTCGTCGTCCATCGGGATGGGGGTGTAGATGGGGGTGTAGGCGGGTGTGGGTGCTTGGGCGGCGATGAGGGTTGCGGTGTAGGCCAGGGCGAGGGTGAGGAAGGAGTTGGTGTAGCGAGGCATTTTGGAGAGGGGGTGGGTGCTTGGTTGTGTTGGTTGTTTGTAGTGTCACTGGTGTTTGTAGAGGTGAGATGAGGTGAGGTGATAGCGTATGAGGTTTTGAAGTGTGATGTGTAAGGGGCGGGGATGGTGTGGTAGACGTAGGTAGATGATTAGACGGGGATGAGGATGGTGTGGTGATTCTGGTTCTTGCTGATGAGGGTGAAAATGAAAGACGCCTGGGTCGGACAGAAGTCTGGTATAAATATACGGCAGAGATACCTCCGTAGATACTCAAAATAAAGAGGCTGGACGACGAATATCCCAGGCAGCCAGTAAGAAAATACACCGAGCAGGTTCCCAGCCCTCCCGCACCCCTATCCGGTTCTCCCTCCCGCGGTCCACTCTTTGCAGCGAATTAAGCAACAAAACAAAAGATAAGCGAGCACGTTTCCATAGCGGCCGGCGGGCCAAGCACGGAAGTCTCAATTCCCCAATCCCTGGCTTCGCAGCCGCTTTGTTTACTTCGGATGTGGTGACTGGGGCAACGGCGTCGATTGGACGATCGTCCAGCCCCTTTATATCCAGAGGCCTCTCATTGGAGGGAATTCGCGGCGCAGTCCGGCACAGTGGGGTGGCTGGTAAGGGGTCATTGCAGATCCACGGCACTGCTGCACGTAGTAAGGTGGCTGAGTGTCAACGTAAGCGAGCATGGCAAGGGCTGTCTGTTTGTGCCGTGCCTTTATCGGAAAATAGATAATGTTGGGCGGGCGGCGTAGTGAGCTCCACATCAGATCAGGTGAAGTGATAGACATTGTGAGAGATAGCAAATCGTGGATTAGCTGGGGTGATTGGGAATAGGGCGGTGGTACGGAGGGAGGCGCGGAATACATTGGAAAGGGGCTAAGGAACCATCAAAACACAAGGGCAAGCAAAAGCACGTAGATTAAGAAGTATTTGGGATCAAGGGAGCCATTGATGTGCTTGTATTCTTCCATCTGCGAATTATAACTCAAGATAGTAAAGGTAAAGATCAACAGCTGGATTTTCTCGCCCTGGTAGGCATGCGTCACTCACATACCATACCTGCTACAGGCTGATGCGGTCGTCTATCGAATTGTCAGTATGTGCATTAATCGAGATCTGTGTATGACAGAAGAATTTGAATAGTGATCAGACAGCAGTTGGTACTTTTATAATCCTCACTAGACGTATCCTCCGAACAGGTCTGTGAATAAGGTTTTTCATCATGTCACTAGGGGTTCACTAGGGGTAGAGCTTGACGAAACCTTGTGCTAACGTACCATAAGGTATGCTCTGGTTCTGAGACGCCGGCGACAGCTGATCTCAGGTGCCAGGGAAGTAGAGTAGGTGATCATTCGCGTCGCCTTTTCTTAAAGAATGATTCCATCGTCTTTTGTTTCGAGTCATGTTCCAAGCTTCCGATACCACCTCGTGTCCTTTTCAGACCGACAAGGTGATCTTTCTTGTTCACTGCTTTCACCACAAGTGACATATCGAGGAATCTGGGTGGTGCTTGGGTAATCGGGGGCAGGGTGGATGGCTTCTGGGAGGCATCATCCGGAGCTACATCCTCAGCTGCACCACCTGTTCCTGTGGAAGACTCCGAATCGGATGCCGGTGCCGCCTCCAAAGACGCTGAAGAATCTGTCTTGATCTCTAGATCAAGGTAGCCAGTATTTGACCAGCCGCCGAGATGCTCGAGACTGAAGCCGTTCCCTGCAGACTCGACTTCGGGGCTGACAGAAACCTTACCGGCATGGAAGCGCTTCAAGAATGCCCGCCAGAGATGGCTTAGAATGATACCATGTGCTACCACCACCACTGTATCGTTCTTCGGTAACTCGTGCAAAAGCTGCACGAGGTGTTCATCGATGAAAGTATCCGACCGTACCTTCATCGAGTCTTGACTCTCAACGTCCTGAAATCCAGGGTTGTTCCGATGTGCATCTTGATGTGCCTCTTTGCCCGACTTGATGCCTTCCCTGGATCGTTCGGAAAAGTGTTTCATCTCGTAAAACCCAAAGTCTTGTTCTCGGATGGCCTGGACCCTTACAGTCTGGGTCGGGGGAGGCTTTTGCGCCACACGGATAGCCTCGGCAGTCTTGAAAGCCCGCTGCAAATCCGACGAGAAGATATGCGAGATCGTGAAATCGTTCGTAGCAAGATGCGTAGCGAGTCGCTTGGCCTGGAGGGCTCCATGGTTTGTCAGGGCAGAATCTGTAATGCCGGCGCTGAGTTATTAGCAAGTTCAAGAGGAGAGCTTGAAATGCTTACTAGACACCGGCCACGTTGTGTACGGTCTCGCCGTGTCGGACTAAGAGAAGCCTCATCCTTCCAGAGGGCGGGCGGTGGTTGTCGGATCTCAAGTCATAGTCGTAGTGATGGTTGTGTTAGGCTTGAAAGGAGGAGGGCAATGGGGATGGAGAAAGTAAAAATAAAAATATCTTCGGCGCGGAAAGGCTTCTCAACACGCTAGTCCTATTAGGGTGCTGTTGGGGGCTTTGCCGAACGACATCTTATCGCAACAACAACACTAGAGCTTACCAACTTCCCGACTTCCCTCACTCGTAGTTACGACTTCGCTTCAATCAAGCAAGATCGTGGACTGCCTCTCATCCTCATTCTGCATACAGACCCATCACAGCATCGAAGCTATATCCAACTGCCAACTATTGAAGACTCGTCCCAAGTTTCCCTTGTCAGCTCAGTCTGAGACGGCCAATCCTACTCAAGAGCTACTATGGAGGTCAATACGGAATGGTCTGTTCCATGTTCTGTAGGGTGACACGCTCGACTTATATGGTCAAGATCTCCCGGGGACCTAGGTACTATCATTCCCATCTGTCTTCCCCGAGCCGAACACAATCCAAGCAAACCACCTGGTACTTGCGATTACTCACAGAACCATCCAAGGTCTATTGCTCTTGTTTGTGAGATGCCTTACTTTGACTTAAGTTGGCTCTTGTACTTTGAGCATAGAACAGGATTCGGGGGGCTTCAATGCGCGTCAAGTTTTCCTTAGTCCCGGATTTCTGCTACGGGTGTCTTCGGCGATACCATTGGAATTTTGTGATCCATTGAGTTTAGCGAAATGAAAGGAGCCTTAAAACTATCAATCTATATGCTCGCTCATTTCATTCGCGGTGCCTGCACCTCGAGAGCTGGTTGGCACACCCAAAGCTGAGGAGCCTTGATGGTATCTGTGTATTTTGTGTAGCTCGGGGCAATCGATCTTCTTTTCCAACTTCTAGAAGCCTGCTGGTTCTTGCTCTCTTTGGCATTGCATGTACCGGGGACTTATTATCATCGCTCATTTGATCTGATACCTAGACATCATCTCGAGCTCGGTGTGTTAAGGATGTCACGTCTTTTCGTCATCAGACGTCACTGCCTGCAATCCCTGGTCTTCGAATGAGAACTGGTTATATTGGGAGACTCCCTTACTTTGTGGTCCTCTTGATATTTCTTGTTCGCAGGTTGAGATATCTGGTCCTCAAGATGTCTGGTTGTCACTAGTATAAAGCTTCCCCGAAGATTGTCATAGCATCTTCCCTTGTCAAAAGTCACTTCTGGTACTCTGTTTTATCGCTTTTACATTCCATGAAAGCTCTAGCAGTGAATCTGCAGCACTCCAGTTATCTACGTGGATTTTCCATGTGGGTATTGATCAATCATGAGGAGGGCTAGCTACCTTTCCTTAGCACCGCTGCCATTTTTCACGATCTTAAGCCGTCATAAGCTGTACCTTTGGTATATGAACCCGTATAGACCGGTGTCACTTCTGTAGCGTGCATGGCTACAGGCTCATCAGGCGCATCTATGCTTGCTAGGTAATTTTTTCCAGCTTGATTAAGGAGAGACGGCTTTGTGATGTTGACATTCGCACCGGCTGAGTAATATCTGGTTTCAGCCCACATTAGTTCTAATACTAACAAACCACCCAGTATAACATGCTCATTCAACGGCATTTGATATAAGAGGATGCTTTGAATTTGGCCAATCAAAATTATTGAGTAACGCCAAATGATTACTGGCATCTGGATTCGAAAATATCTACATCGAAGTGTCGACTTTCATACCGACTACTTCGTACCCGCTACTTCAGCATCTCGAGAGCCCTATAAACACTACCTTTGAACGGTACAAAAACCATCCAGTACAATAGTATCGCAGGATAATGTTACACTACAACGCATTCTTGCAAACTATCCAGAATAGCACAGCATCCAAAATTGTCATCTACGGCCGGATGACGCGAATCTGAATTTTAACTCAAGCATTTACCACCGGCCACTCCGTTTTCTCACGTACCTCAACGCCACTTATTCGCATCACCAAAACAATCCAATGAAACACAGCCACCATACCCTGATATCCTCTATCGATGATTGCAAGCTGGTCAGGATCATCCATAATCAGCAGACCCTGGTCCCCAATCGGCTTGAGGCGGGTCTAATTTGGCGTGTATCAACTTCACCGTGGCGATAACTTCCCTAACACGAGCCTCAACCATCATCATTTTACATCACCAAGACAACTCACCACAACATAACCACGACGCCGTCTTACACTCTTATCGATGATGGCAAACTGATCAGGGACCCTCATAGTCCTTGTCTCCACAGTTTCAGGTCAAAATTCCATGTAGGTTGGTGGCACCTTCTCACTTTTTGAACTTGGTCGTTTAGCTGGGGCTCATATTCTTGGACTCTTCGCCTCATCCCTTGTTGCCCGACAACATCCACTTCATAGCCCGAAATTTCATTCTCAAGCCCAGGATGGTAGGGTACACTCACTTCGTGGCCTACGCCGACTTCATCATCCGCCTACTTCCCAACGCAAAGTTGCATCGCCATCCACCACTTCCCTTACCATCTACCAGACCCTATCCTGAATTCTCATCAACACTTCCCTTTTGAATTCCATACCGGTTGCCTTTTCTTCCCGAGCACCACCCAATCCACGATGCATGGATCCATAATTGTCACAATGCCTGTTAGCAAATATCACACATATTTCAAGAGTGTGCTGACATGGAACAAGTCGAAAACTCACCACTGGGCATGGACCTACTGCCAGCATGGAAAAAGATCCAGCCATGTCAGCCACTTCAACAAGGGGTGGCTCTCAAGATGAAGGCTTTGCATCGCCAATTGATGAAGACCTCGCACCGCCAATTGTTTTCAATTTCGGTCCCCAGGAAGCCGCCGCTCCAGAGAAAGCGTACTTCGAGGCGTATGTTGCAGCCCCGGAAAAGATGCGTATGCCTAAGGGCGCCCGCGACCTCAACATGCTGCTCAATAGACGTCGACGAGCAGCAACTAACAGAAAATTCCGCGGTGGAGCCAGTGCGTCGATTGATAAAGATACTAGCGGAAATTATGATCCCAAACAAGAACGCCAAACACCTTCAATTCCTGTAAGGCGTGTCAAAAAATCTAAGGCTTCGGCGCTGGGTGATGAGAGAAATCCTAAACTCAAGAAGTCCGCCAAGGGAATAGGCTGGGTAAGGAGTCTTGTGGTCAAGCTTCCATTTAAAAGCAAAAAAGCTTTGGATTACCTGAGGAGTGTTCCCACTGGCGAATTGGGCCTAAAACTCTATCAGTCGACGGATGAAGAAGAGGAGTCTGATGCAGTTCCCGACTCTGGATCAGGATCCGGTCGCACTTCCAAGAGAAAAAGAAGTGTCAAGAGACCTGCAAGACCTTTCAGGTATGACTCCTCCATGCTCTTAATTGGAATGAGCACAGCTGATATATCAGATCTGATGGTTTGACTGTCGATGATCTCACTGACGGACATCCTCAACGTCGCGGATGCACCTCCTGCTTCGATCAAGATAACGATGAGTGCTCGCTTATCGACAACCACACCTACCCATGCGAAGCATGCGAGGACGCCGGAACAGACTGCATTCTGATTGTTCCCCCGGCTTTCAGAAAGAGCTGCGAACAATGCAAAAAGAAGCGAAGGAGCTGCAGCTATCGCCTCGATGGCGGTAAGGGTGTTGAGGCTTGTGATGCCTGCGGGGAAGATGGCGTTACGTGCTATGCTGCTCCGATTCTCGATGAACGGTGGGTCAAAAGATTGACTAACAATTCGGCCCGCAAGAAAGGATCGAGAAGCGAATATGCATCGTCGTCCGTGGCTAGTGACCGCACCCCAATTCGAGAGCGTATATACGTTTCATGCAACCAATGCCGCAGCACTGGCAAGCGATGTACGAACAAAGGAAAGGCCTCTACAGGACCTTGCTCTTGCTGTCGTAAAGCAGGCCAGAACTGCCAGTTCGTGTACCCGCCCACTCGCACTGCAGCTGAAGCTTCGGCAACCAGCAAGGCCGAGCACAAAGAGACAGCGGCATCGTCCTCGAAGCACCGTTGGTCCATCGCATCAAATCTGTCACCTGGAAACGATAGTCGTGATGGCACACCTGATTCCCCCAGCACCCTGACTGCCACGCTATACGGCGAGCTTGAGCGAAAGAACGTCAAGAAAGCTAGAAAACTCCATGACGAAGGCAAGCAGTATCTCTTATCTCCCTCCCTCCATCTGACCATATACACTTTCCGCAAATCTTCTATTTCACTCTACTCGAACGAAAACTACAACCAGAGAAAGTATAGGACCGAGACCAAACCCCCCAGCTAATCGAACGTACCCTAGGCATCACACACACTGTCATCACCACTGCATTCTGTCACCCCATTCGCTTCAACTACATTCCCGACCCGCTCAACAAGAACCCATGTTCGTGGTGCCACAATCCATTCTTCGGACTCTGGGGCCTTGCGGACTCTGATGGCCCAAGAAAAGTCGAGGGATTTTGGTACCCAGACGGAGGCGGCTTCGAGGAGATCTTCGGCGGGTATTCTGAGGACGGGTATAGCAGAAGCTCGATGTGTGTCATGTGCACATTTGAGCGGATGCGCGTCACTCAGTGTGGTGGTCACCGAATGCGCATGCTGGACCCGTTGAAAGGGGAGATTGACATGCGGGTCTTTGACGATGAGAAGTGGAGTCAAGCTACCAGAGCCTATACCACAGGTGGCGATGGCAATCTGGTGCGCAAGACCAAGTGGTGTGCGGTTTGTCCTGCGACGGCGACGATGATGTGTTGCGCTCCACAGCGGTTTGATGCCCAAGGTGACAGCCGATACTACGGTGAGAGTGGCCAACATGGCGGATGCAATGGAGCTGGAGAGGAGGGATGTGGATTATGCCTCTGTGAAGATTGTGCAGTCTTGCTCGAGAAGATGGTCAAGGGCGGTGCGAGGACCGGAGGCCGACAGATTGATGCATTGGTCAACCATGTTCGGTGCAACACTTGGCGATACCCCGAGGTTCGTTGTACCCTTCTCCCATTCGATTTTACCTCATCTCCTCCTATCGCTCAAAGCCGATGTTTACTGACACCACAACTAGGGAGTCCGAGCCGACGCTTCATTCATCACTTCCTCCGGCGAGCTTCTCAAGCGTATAGAGCAGGGCATGGGCATAGCCGATTACTCGCAGACTCCAAGCTCCCTAAGATCTTCTACCCGCTCTCAAAGCCAGCAGCCATCAGAGCGCAAAGATTTAGTCTTCGGTGGCATCAGCGGTGGCTACGGCGGTCCCCAGAAGGTCGACCTCAAAGGAAAATCTAAAGCCATCGAATCTGTCCCCAGATCCAGAGACAATGACCAAGGGAAGGAGAAAGCGAGTGTAGTCGACATGGTGAGGAAGCAACTCTCCTACCGCCAGCTGGACCCCGCTCCGGCTGCTGAGAAAGGCTTCATGACTTCTGGTTCTGGTGAGAAATCGCAAGCTCTGATCGTCAAGATCAAGAAGGAGAGAGTAATAAATGTCAACCAAAACGGCATGATTGGACGTGAAGGTCGAGAAGACGATAATTGGGGCAAGGGGAAAGGTCGTCGGTGGGCTGAGGAGAGGAGGGAACACCGTGGAGAGATTTTGCGCGGGGGTGTGCTGGAGCCGACGGCGGCGGATGTGGCGAGAGCGATGGGAGGACAGGACAAGCCGGTGGATTCGACGGACGTGGACGGAGTATCCGTTCTTTTTTAAAGGAAGTAGCTCGCCAGATGATGGGAAGTTCTATCCTGGGACCGGGTCCTCTTCAATGTCACGGGTGGTCAAGCTTCGGTTCAGCGCCTAGGCGGCGAAAGGTTGGACCACGTTCCAAAGCGAAATCTAAGGGAAGATATGATCTGCATTGGGGGGAAGCATCCCGAGGGGTCTCGGTGCTCTTTCCGCCCTGTTTCCATCCAGACCGAGGCGGTTGAGCAGCAATATTTACGGGTCCGGTGGGGGAGGGGGGGAAAGGGGGGGGGGGAAGGGACGGAAACTAATTATAAAAGCATTCATTTAAGGGGAAAATGTAGTAGAATCTTCTCTGCCAACTAACTACCTAGCATCTGGCTGGCACATTTAATCAAACATGCATTTACACCAGCGGGAGAATTCGAAGTAGGGGAGGGATTGCCTTTTTAAATGTCGTAAAAGCCCCTTTTT